GATCTCAGCTCACTGCAAGCTCCGCCTCCCGGGTTCACACCATTCTCCTGCCTCAGCCTCCCGAGTAGCTGGGACTACAGGCACCCGCCACCTCGCCCGGCTAGTTTTTTGTATTTTTTAGTAGAGACGGGGTTTCACCGTGTTAGCCAAGATGGTCTCGATTTCCTGACCTCGTGATCCGCCCGTCTCGGCCTCCCAAAGTGCTGGGATTATAGGCTTGAGCCACCACGCCCGGCCTAGAGACGAAGTTTCTTATGTTGCTCAGGCTGGTCTCAGACTCCTGGGCTCAAGTGATTCTACTGCCTCAGCTTCCCGAAGTGCTGGGTGGATGGTGTTAGCCATCGCACTTAGCCCAAATTTCCTTTTTGCATGAGGACTCCAGTTGGATTGGATTAGGACACACACTAAAGGCCTCTTTTTAACTTAATCACCTCTTTGAAGGCCCTATCTTCAAACACAGGCAGGTTCAGAAGTACTGGGGGTTAGGGCTTCAACATAAGAGCAATCCAGCTTATTAAATGGCAGAGCCAGGCCGGGCACGGTGGCTCATGTGTGTAACTCCAGCACTTTGGGGGACTGAGGCAGGAGGATTGCTTGAGCCTAGGATTTCAAGACCAGCCTGGGCAACATAGGGAGACCCCATCTCTACTAAAAATAAAAATTAAAAAAAAAAAAAGCTGGGCATGGTGGTGTGCACCTGTCATCCGAGCTACTGGGGAGGCGCAGATAGTAGGATCCGTCGAGCCCAGGAGATTCAGGAAGCAGTGAGCCATGATCACACCACTGCACTCCAGCTGGATCAACAGAGTAAGACCCTCTATTGACTCCAACCCAGATTTTGCCATGGGGCTGAGAAACCTGACACACAATCTGACTAGTACATGGCCTTTGTATCACTTGGTGCTGCTCTGCGGTGTTCTCAGACCCTTCCCATCCTCTGGTCTGGTCCACACACAAGGCAGCAATCCTTTCGACGGCGTTCATCCAGATCAACCAAGGACCAGATCGACCAAGGACCAGGGCACAGACTTACTCAGAAAAACTGTCCAGTCATCTAACCTCTGAGCCTCAGTTACATCATTCTGAGGCTCCCCATCGTTACAACGGGAATAAGCACTCTACTCTTGAGAACATGGCTATAAAGAATCTAGTCCAGTGTCTGGCACACAGTAGGGTGCCCTAAAGTGGGTGGGCCACTGGCGCTGAGTGAAGGCCACTAATTAGCTGAGCTGTTGGCACCCAAACTAAACCCTTGGCCTGGATTTGGAATAGACAGCAGAGTGAGTCAACGGGATCACAGCCCTTTCTTTTCTTTTTTCTTTTTCTTTCTCTTTCCTCCCTCTCTCCTTCCCTCCCTCTCTCTCTTTTTTTTTTTGGAGTCTCGCTCTGTCACCCAGGCTGGAGTACAGTGGCGCAATCTCAGCACACTGCAACCTCCGCCTCCCGGGTTCATGCGATTCTCCTGCCTCAGCCTCCCAAGTAGCTGGGACAACAGGCATGCACCACCATGCCCAGCTAAGTTTTGTATTTTTAGTAGAGACAGGGTTTCACCATGTTGGCCAGGCTGGTGATCTGCCTGCCTCAGCCTCCCAAAATGTTGGGATTACAGGCATGAGCCAACGCATCCGGCTCTTTTATTTTCACTTTTGATGGTGGAGGCGGCTGGCAGGAGGGCGGTTGGGGTGATGGGATCAACGAGAGAAACAAGAAACGCCCCCACCCCACATAACCCTGCCCTCCCCACAGCCTTCCGCAGCTACTTTGAGATCTTCAATGGCCCTGGTGAGGTGGATGCACAGAGCCTGAAGAACATCCTGCTCCTAATGGGCTTCTCTGTGACGCCGGCCCAGGTGGAGGACGCCCTGATGAGTGCTGATGTCAATGGTGAGTAGCAGAGGGCTCCACTCTGCGTCCCAAGCAGGGCCTGCTTCACTGGCTTGAAGCCTGTGCAGTTGCATGAGGCTCTGCACCTAAAGGATTCCATGCTTGGTTTAATGCTCTGCTGTCACAGTCTAGAAATGCCTTTGTTGTTCTTGTTGTTTGAGACGACGTCTGGCTCTGTTGCTCAGGTTGAGTATAATGCTGTGATCCCTGCTCACCACAGCCTCAACCTCCTAGGCTCAAGCAATCCTGCCACCTCAGACTCCTAACTGGGACTATAGGCGCACTACCACGCCTGGCTAATTTTTTATTTTTTGTAGAGGTAGGGTCTTTGTTGCCCAGGCTGGTCTCAAACTCCTGGACTCCAGGAATCTGCCTGCCTCAGCCTCTCAAAGTGCTGGGATTACAGGTGTGAGCCACTGCGCCCAACATCATATAAATTCTTAACAATTTTTTTTTTTTTTGCTTTTTTGTTTGTTTTTGCGACAGAGTCTTGCTTTGTCGCCCAGGCTGGAGTGCAGTGGCACCATCTTGGCTCACTGCAACCTCTGCCTCTCAGATTCAAGCGATTCTCCTGCCTCAGCCTCCCAAGTATCTGGGATTACAGGTGTGCGCCAACACTCCTAGCTAATTTTTGTATTTTTAGTACAGATGGGGTTTTACCATGTTGGCCAGGTAGGTCTCAAACTCCTGACCTCAGGTGATCCACGCACCTCGCCTCCCAAAGTGCTAGGATTACAGGTGTGAGCACTTTCAGCTTCTACTTTCCTGTGTGCCCCATGTTGTCTGCATTGAGTATGCACTGCTTGATAATCAGACCCAGAGAGTAACTTCTAATAACCACGCCTGGGCTGCAAGGCATGGACCTGTTCCGAAGGTCCCTGCCCACCCAGTTACTCCTCTGGCCTCCACAGGAGATGGTCATGTGGATTTCAAAGACTTCTTGGCTGTGATGACAGACACCAGGCGCTTCTTCTGCTCTGTGGGTGAGCAGGGATGAGCCCAGGGTAGTCAGAACTGGAGGAGGAGCTGCTGGGAGGTTGCTTGCGGGGAAAGGAGAGGGCATTCAGGACTGCCCTGTGGTAATGGCAGCCACTATCCCTTGTCTCCAGAACAGAACGCCCTGACGGACATGGCTCCCCACAACCCCCACACTCTACTCTTTGAGATCCTGTCCCTGCTGGTAGAGATGCTGGCCTTACCAGAGGCAGTCTTAGAGGAAATCACAAAGTGAGTGGGGCTGGTTGTTGGGGATGAAGGGTTGTGGACACAGAGGTGGCATCTAGCATTTTGGCATTGAGAACTTTTGGTAGTTATGACTTTTAGTCACAAGTGAAAGAAACTGGAGGCTGAAGCACGAGAATTGCTTGAACCCAGGAGGTGGAGGTTGCAGTGAGCTGAGATTGCACCACTGCACTTCAGCATGAGCAACAGAATGAGACTCTGTCTCCAAAAAAAAAAAAAAAAAGTGAAAGACACTAGAATAAAACTGGCTGAAGCAAAAGGGGAATGTATGGCTCAAATCACTGGTTGGGGCCTCAGGACTGGCGCGATCTCAGAGACCAAATGATACCAGTAAGGCTTTCTCTCTCCACCTATCCATGTCTATGCATTGGCTTTGAGCTCAGCTAGGCTCTCCCTACAGAGGGAGGGATTCCCATGGAGCTGGCGGCCCCATGCTCACACCCTCCTAGTGCAGCAAGAGGAATTCTTCCCTGCAGCACCCATCAAGCAGTCCCAGGAAAGGAATTTGATGGACCCTACCTGGGCCAGAAGACACAAAAGCCTCCACGTGTCTCCAGGGCAGGTGGGTGGGTAGGTAGTGGTTCATCTAAGAAGGAGATAGCCAGGGTTAGAAGCAAAGGGTGAAGGCAGAACAGTCCAGTTGATCTTCAAATAGCAGTTTCAGGCCCTCACGCTTCAGAGGAGCCTGAGCCTTCATTTCCTGTCTTTGAAATGAACATATTTTAATGCTTGTTGCTCAATAAATGCTAGCTTTCAACAGAGTTTTGTGAAAGCCTGTTGCCCAGGCTGGAGTGTTAGTGATACAATCACAACTCACTACAGCCTCGACCCCCTGGGCTCAATCAATCCTCCCACCTCGGTTTTCCTAGTAGCTGGGATTACAGGCGCGTGCCACCATGCGTGGCTTCCCAAAGTGCTGGGATTACAGGCATGAGCCACCATGTCCAGCCAAAAGGCACTTTGTTGCTGGTCAAGGTGGTGTGTGCCTGTAGTCTAGCTACTCAGGAGGCTAAAGGGGAAGGACTGCTTGAGCCCGGGAGTTCGAGGCTGCAGTCAGCTATGATGGCACCACTGCACTCCAGCCTCGGTGACAGAGTGAAAGTCCATCTCTTAAAACAAAGAAAAGCAAAGCCAGGCGTGGTGGCTCACGCCTGTAATCCCAGCACTTTGGGAGGCCGCAGCGGGCGAATCACAAGGTCAGGAGACCAAGACCATCCTGGCTAACACAGTGAAACCTCATCTCTACTAAAAATACAAAAAGTTAGCTGGGCGTGGTGGCGGGCGCTTGTAATCCCAGCTACTCAGGAGGCTGAGGCAGAAGAATCACTTGAACCCGGGAGGCAGAGGTTGCAGTGAGCCGAGATTGCACC